ACAGCCTGGGCAGGGGATTGCTGGAGCCAGCGGCCTCTGGCTTCTCCCTCCTGCTTAGCTCATTGTGGGTAGTGAGCTCCACCCATCTGCCTGCCTGTTACTAGGGAGCTGTGTGGGGCAACTCCTAGGGATCCCTGGCTCCAGCTCCTGCCTAGCTGTGGAGTTCATGTCCCTCTCATCCTTCACCCCTTCCAACTCCTCCTCGAGTCTCACCGGTGCTTCAACTGCTACCTCCTCCAGGAAGCATTCCAGAAGCACCCCCAGGACAGATCCTTTCTCCAAGCCACCTCTGTATTAACGTGTGAATGCTCCATGGCTCACATTGTGGGGTGAGCTTGCCACATACAGGTTCCAGCTCAGGCCCTTGACAGCAGGGGCCACCCTTGTACTCCGGTGTTTTCTAGGCACAAACAGCCCTGACAATAGCTGAATCCATCCTAGTTGGATAGCTCAGTGGTGCTGGCTGCAAGGCACTGCCCTCGTCCCTCTCCTGATAAACACCATGCAAACTGCCCTGGGTGAAGGAGGCTGCTCAGCCCAGCGATGACCAACAGGGGTGTAAAGCCTCCCCTGTCACTCCATCTGGGGCCAACTTCAGAACTCCCCACCAAGCCTGCTCTGCAGCTCCTCCTCTCTCTGCTGCCTCTCTTCCCCCAAAGAAAACTGCTTAAAAAGCTAATCTCTACCCTAGAGTCTGTTCTCTGGGGAACAGGGAGTAGGCATTTCTTCATTACCTCAGTTTGTTCATCTATTAAGATGCCACCAGTGGTGGGAGTGGGGAAAGGAGTTGAGAAAACACCACCTATCACCTCAGAGGTGAGGGGCCCACTCCAGGTAAGCAGGAGCTGTGGGCCAGGACTTCAGCCCACCAGTGAATCTGCCACTCTACCCTGCATGCTGGGGGCAGAGAGCTTTGAGGGGAGTCAGACAAACCCTGGCTGACTTCCTTCCTTTCTGTTTTCAGCTGGGTGAGGGCAGACAGAGCACCCGAAGCCATGATGCTCTTTGGGGAATGCACGGAATACTCATTTATTACATTTATATCATAAAATGCATAATTTTGCTTGAAACTTGCCAACTTTTATTAGCTTCCAAAAATGAATAAGGGGTTACCAGTTATCTACATTTTTAGAACATTCTTAAGGAGAAAGCCTTTGAACTAAGACCTTAATTTTTTTCTGTAAAATGGGGGAAAGACATCCACAACTCAATTTTAATCCAGAGACTCTCGAAGCGCCCCATGGAAAGGGGAGCAGAGCCTGAAGATGGCTACTGTAGAGGGGGCCCAGGGCTCTGGTAGTGGGAGGCAGAGATTTCCAAGTTGATCCAGGAGAAGGAGCAATGGAGCCTGGTGCTCTGGCCCTGGAGGGAGTGCAGGGCAAGGCCTCTTGGGTTCACAGGCACAATCAGCACATTTCTGGGATCGTGGGTCAAAGGCCGAGGTAGCGCTGTAGACATTTCCACTGCACACTCACCTGGAAATGCTTGCTGGGCACCTAGATTCTCTCTGACATGGAGTAGGGTGGTGCTAAGACCATTCTAGGTGCTTCACAAGAATGAGCTCTCTCTAATTGCCCAATTAGTGGACTCTTATGGCTTGTGTCTAGATGTCCCACAAAGCCTCATTCGATCATAGGTGGGGGTTTTTGGAGGTGGCTGGATCTAGGGTTTGTGCTGCTGGGATCAAGGATGTGATGCTGGGATTGATTCACGGTGCAATTGCTAGGATTAAGGGTGTGAGCATTACCTGCACTAAGGGCAGGTCACCTGGGAAAGATATAAGGGACAAAAAAGAGCTATGGTTGGGTCTTGTTGCTATTTGCTTGCTTGCTTTTGCTGTCTCCTGCCTGCCATGAACCCTTTCTCCTCTGCCATGCTACCCTGCCTTGGAGCCAACCAACTATGAATTGAAACCTCTACAAACTGTGAGCCAAATAAACCTTTTCCCCTTTAACTTGGAGTGTCAGGTATTTTGCCTCAGTGATGAGAAAAGTAACTAAGACATGGACCCATTTTACAGAAGAAGAAATAGAGCTTTCTAGATCTAAAGTAATCTGCCAAGATCCCACAGCTGACGTGTAGAGAAGTTGGGATTCCTATCCAGCCTCTAATTCCAGGGCATGAGCCTTCACTGCTACATGATTCAGCTCCCTAATAGCCTCCAACATACCCAAGGGGGAAATAAAGGCAGCAAGGACATACAGAAACACCAGACAGCCAGCCAGGACTGGCATAAGGGGTAGACTTGTATGAAGACAAGGATTCTAGACTCCACTTTGAGAATACTTCCTTCAGCTGTGGGTTCACACAATCCAGGTCCAGCTACATGCCTGTGCTACCCAGAGTCTGCAGCTATTGGACACCAACTACACTCACTTTGCAGGAAGACAGAAGCCACAGATTTCTGTAGGCATTCCAAGGAGAGACAGAGGGACACCAGGGGATTCAGCTGGCCATTTCCCTTCATGTGATAGGGGCCAAGATCAGAGGCATGACACAGACGGCCTTTGGCCACTAAACCTGATTCTGGTCAATGCTCTTTGCTCCCCTTGGTACCTGGTGTGCCCCAGGGGATGCAAGCCCTTCTCAGTGTGGCTTAAACCCCAAATATTAGGAAGGTTAGCCTACACAGAAGTATTAGTGATTTGAAGGTGTAGTACTTAGCAAAGCTACTAGTAAGGGTTATCGGCTGGGTGGGCCGGGGCTGACCTGGTAATATTCTGCAGCCGCTCTTTGAATACCAAAGTCACAGTGTTTCCCAGGACTCTGGAGGCTCCTGCTTTTAGACAATGAGGTCCTTAAACTACATGGCTGCCAGCTCTTATCATGAAAGTCCCCGTCGCCTGGGGATTCCACAACAGTTCCAGGCTGTGAGTGGTGAATTGTACTGTCTTCCAAGATGGGAATAAGGGTAGGTGTCCCCGCCAGCACAGGCTCTGGCTCAGTGCATGTCTGCTATCCTGAACTGCAGTCTGGCCTGACAGTCAAGCCCTTCCCTCGAGTCTGTCATTGGTCCAGCTGAAAACCCATCTTTCATTTCAGCAGACGTCCCCTAGTTTGGGTCCCTGTGAACACAGAGACAGCTGCCCCTCTTCCCTCTATGTAAATCTTTCACAAATTTCATGGTGAGAATGTTCTTCCCTTTTCCCTGGCCCCAGCCCTCCAGCTCTCCTCACAGGACATACTTTCCATCCCTTTAATCATCTTTATTGCCTCCATTTGGATGCTGGCCCGGTCCACATCCTCTGTGAGGTGTGCTGACCTACCCTGGACATTCACTACCATAAGCATGGCTCAGGGGAAGTTTGGTTTCCCAGTCCTCACATGTGATGCAGGCTCTTCTTCCCACATTCCTACGTCATGCTGCTGCTTTCCGGAGCCTGCTCCTGTCCAGGGCAGTCCTGTGGAGCAAGGCGATCTGGCCCAGAAAGGGACATATGGGCTGACCTGGATGCCACTACCTGAGTCCAGAGAGGCTGTCTCATTCAGAAGCTCAGGGACTTTCTGTACCTCTGAGACACATACTCTGGGGCAGAGGCAGAGGGACATAAGGCCTCCATTTCCCTGACATCTCCCCAGGTCCTTGTGAACTGCATTTCTCCTTTAGGGGTGGCTCCTTCTTTCTTCCCTCTGCCGGAAAACCATGATGCAGGGATGGTCAGTGTGATGCCACACAGTAAAAAGGCAGCAAACAGATGCAATTAACTGTACCCTGGTCAAAGAAGGGAGAAACTTGGTCCAATTCTCCCAGTTCAAGTTTCCTTTTGATACCTAGAGTTTCCTAATAAAGTGCATAGTGACATCCTAAGCTGGGGCTGCGGCCTCCCAGCTAGCTGGACATTTACTGTCCTCTGTGAATGTTTTCAGATCCTCTAAATCCACTGCTGGGTGACAAATGTTTTGGGTGCGCTGTCCTCCCCACCCATGCTGAGCGCTGTGGCTGCCACCTATCAGTCTTCTCTCCAGGCCTTCCTGCAGAGGGAGGGTCAGAGACACTGTCAGCTGCAGCCCTTAGGGTCCAGGAGGTGGCTACACAGCATGAGGGCAGGCACTTCTAGTTTCCTGAGCCAGGGATGTCAGCTGCTTGTTTATTATGTCTCCAAGAACATTTTCTGTTCACTTAAGGTAAAACCACAGTGATCACCTTTATCTAAGAATAATTTCCCCATAGGGGAATACCTCATTTTAATTCCTTAGGCATAAGCCTTTTTGTTCTTTCTCTCTCTTTTTTTTTTTTTGATTTTCATCCAGAAATAATTTATGCATGTTCAAGCAGAAAATACACTCTGACTCCTCCTTTTGCACAAATGGCCACACACAACAAACACTGTTCTGCACCCAGATTTTATTTTTTCACCTAAAACACACTGTGCATACCTTCCCAAATAAGAAAGCCTCATAGAATACAATGCATGCTTCTCGGGTGCCAAATCTCAGCTGCTTGTTCCTGTCCATGGACACCTCATCACTCTTTTCCTGTCCTGTGGTTTTCACCTGGGATTCTGAACTCCACAGAAGAGCCTGGTTCACTGCTCTGGGTTCTGGAAGCAATAGCACAAGCTCTTGCTATCTGTGTGTTGCCTGCCATAAGTCAGCTGGTTCTCACAGGTACAATTCCCAATGACTGAAGGAGGAAAGACAGATGCCCTTGGACTCCTGAAGACCATGTCTCAAAACATGCAGCCAGCAAGTCCTATTCCTTGAGGATGCTGCTGCTGCTCAGAGGTCAATGGGAAGAATGCTTCCGACCTGCAAAGGCCAGGAAGAGGCAGTGGGGATGGTGGCCCTCTCTGTTGTACTCCTGAAGCACCCACTCCTCAGAGTTGCTGCTGCTTGCGGGAATCCCCAAACAGTAACAAGCCCACCATCCCACCATGCCACCGACCTCATCTCATGGGTGGTAGCTGGTGACCAGAAGAGCACAACACAAGCCAGCACTGACATAGCCACAGACACTGGTGTGGGAAAGAACACTCAGTGCTCGAGAAGGTCTCTCCTACCTTCGGTCGTTTCTCCTCCTCCGGAACAGCTTCTTGGTGTGCGCAATCTCCACCTCATGGGGCATCGGGTGGTAGCCCTGGGATGTGGGGAGAGAGGGGGTATGAATAACTTCTAAAGAGAGCAGAGGGATCACACTAAGCACAACCGTGTTCAGGATGGGAAGACGGGAGAGGCTGGACTCTGAATTCCAAATTCAGATGGAAAATGAAAAACACTGCAGTTGATAAATTTCCTCCCAAGCAAGGATGCTAGAATTTCAGACTCAAAGAACAGGGGGACCTCAGAATTTATCATGTCCAAGCTGTCTAATACAAGTAAGGATGCTCAGGCCCAGAGACCTGAGTGAGCACTTCAAGGTTTCCAGAGAGGGGGCAGCCAGTTCAAGGTGCCAATGTCCCCCACCTTCCCTTGATTGGGGGCTGAGGCCTGCAAAGGCAGACCAGGGCTGGGGCTCTTCTTGAGGAGCCCCAATCCAGGGGGCTGTTTGTATCCCTCATGGGGACCAGGTACACAGTCACTGGCTATAGGACGGGGACAAGCTCCTCCAATTTTCAATTTCCTAACAAAATGGAAATGTTATTACCTTCTGCTCTGTGCTGTTGAGGGGATCAGGAGATGCCTTGAACAGAAGAAAACTGCCTCCTAATCCTAGGCTTGGCTCCCTGGAAGATTTTACTCAAGATCCTTTTACCTTGTGTTGCCTGGGAAGTATTTAGGGAAAACATGCAAATAGCTAAATTCCTTTTTAAACTTCAAAGGAGGGGCTGAGGAAAATTCTAAGGATGGTCTTTTGCATATTGTCCTCATGACAACTACTTAGACATTGACATCAGTTGGAGAGAGACCTTCCACTTAGAATGCAGGCCGGATCCCAGCAAATGCCAGGCCCGGCAGAATTATTGCAGAAGCTGGGCTGATGGCCAATTCTGTTCTTACCTCCTTCCCACCCCCTCCACCCCCAATGGGACAATGGTGGTGACGTCCATTTCTAGCAGGCCAGAGTGGAGTATGGGGTACCGGGGCCTGGCTATGACGCAGCCTGACTGTGGCCTGCACTGTCACATGCTGGTGTGGGCATGCACAGGTGGAGAGAGGAGTCCCAGAGCCCAGTCTGCTGCAGAGCGATCCTCGGGCATGCATTTGGCCCCAACCCCCACCTGGCAGGCAGGGAGGCTGAGACCCTGAGACGTCATACAGTGAATGAGAGACGTGGATCTGTGGGCTGCAGCCCTGGCCTCTGTGTGAGGTAGCACACACCCCCCTCTGGACTGGGGCTCCACAGAGAGTGCCCCACTCTTCTATCTTCACAAGACTTAGCCCCCCCCCCCGGGGGGGAGGGGTGGGGAACACTGGCAGCCCAGGAGAGCTTCCCAGGGGGGCGGTGGGAAGACAGGTCAAGAGGGCACAGAGATCTTGGCGGTATGGACCAGCTATTTAGAGGCCAGGGAGGGAAAGACACATTCCAAACTACATTTTAATGACAGCCCTTCCCTCCCACCCCATCTTTCTTGCTTCCAACAATCTAGCCAAAAAGGCATGAATGAATTCCAGGCTCCAGGCAGCCACAATGGGCCTCTGGGGCCTTAGGATGTGCTTTGTTTAATGATTTTCTCAAAGGATATTATTTGTTTTCTTTTATACAAAACACAAACAAGGAAAAACACCAAGTCTTCCCTTCTCACTTCCCCTCTCCCACCCTGACCAAGCGCTGGGGTGGCCCCCTTCCCTCCTTCCCTTCCTCCCTTCCTCCCTCTCCAGGTCACTTCAGGAACACACTGGGTGTGCCCCAAGTAGACAATGGACAGGAAGCCGAGGCTCCCTCCTGAGCGGGCAGCAGACTGGAAGCTCAGTTCTGAGGCTGGACAGACTGAGCTGCCTATGGCACTTGGCACAGCACTAGCAGAAGGTGCCAGCCTCCTCCGGCCGGGCCTCAGAATCCTGGGCCCTGACCCACATCCTAGCCTCTCCCCTCCACACTGGCCACAGCAGTAGGGAGCTGCCCTTCGGCCATGACCTCAGCAGGGACCCTAACTTGTCCCAGGCATCAGAGGAGCTCATCCAGCCACAAGGAAAGTTAACCTCATCACTCACTTAATCTCTGCCCTAAAATGTGACCAGTAAGATAGGGCTGGAAAGGATAGCACGTCCTAGACAACGGCACACAGTGACAGGCATGACTCATGAGGAGTTTGGAAAGGAGCTTCAGTTGGGGCCCCTGGTGGCCTGGCCAGGGCAGATGGTGCTCTGGCTCTAGACCAGAGACCCCTTCCTGCTCTGCAGACATGGAGAATTAACCTGGCTTGTCAGAATCGCCCTTTCAGTGTCCAGCGGTCCTGCCTCTAATTGTTTTCTTAACAAGTCTGGGTGCTTCCTGCTCTGCAGAAGCCCTGCCCAAGTAGGAGCCCTCCCCCAAGTGTGACAGGGACAGCCTTCCGGTCTCCCTGCTGGCTCTTTGCAACAGATATGCTTCTGGCACCATCTAAATGGCCACAGGGCCCGCATGCTTACCTTTGGCTTTTCTACATGGGTAGAGACACCTGGCTGCAGCCAGGTGCCCCACCTCCTGCGCCCCCCCTTACTGGTCTAAGCTCTGATTATTTTCCATATTAAATGGGCCTGGGAGACAAGTAGATTATATAAAGCGAGACTCTTTAGGAAAGGAAGGAGAATATTCCTTCCACTCCTTCCTGGCAGAGTGCACATGAAACACACATGCACACTCTCACCTGGAGGTCGGTGCAGGTGTAAGGTGCAGCAGTGAGGGGCAGCACATTACTGCTCTGGTTACAAAACATGTTATGTAGACCTGGCCCATTACGGGGCAGGCTGAGGCTGAAATCTCATGCCCTTGTGCAGGGGGTATTTCCGAGGGATCAAGGGCAGCTTCAGCAGAGCTCTGGCCTCAGAACTTCAGCCCCAGACAGTTAATCCCAGCCAGAGAGTGGAATGGCCTTGCCCTGAGATGACGGCTCACCTCAGCTCAGACGGGTCTGCTGGTGGCAGGAGAGGGAGAAAAGCAAAGGAACCCAGCAGAGATCAGGTGTGCTGGTGGCTCTGAGACCTGCTGCTACTGTGATGAGAGCGGCAAGCCTCTCCTGGTCATAGGATCCTATCCGCCACCCCTCCCCATGATCCATCCACCCATCCTAACAGCTACCACCCTTCAGTTCGTCTACCTAGTCTATAAATGTGCTTTAGGCACTATGCATATGGTACTGTAAAAAGTAGGCAAAGTGCTTGTTCTTGGAGTGTATGCACTCTAATGAAAGGAGACAGCCAACAAATATGTGATAAATGGCATTGTTTTGCTATGAAGCAAAATTAGACATGGCAAAAGGATGAAGGAAGGAAAGGTGAGGAGGAGTGGGGTAGTTAGGGAAGCTTTTTGGATAAGGGAATAGTTAGCAACTGTCCATCTAGCTGTCCACTCATCTTCCTATCTTTGCTTGTTCTTCACTCAACAAACACTGAAGGCCTACTGTGTGCCAGGGCAACAGCTGGACAAGACCAGGATGGAGGAAAATATCCTAGAGGGGCTAAAGGGAACACAAACAGGGGAGCTGACATGTGCCATGTGGCGGGTGCTAGAGGAGAAGCTGAAGAGCTCAGAGGAAAGGCCCAGACTTCGGTGTGGGAGAAGAGTCCAGGAACACATTGCCAAGGGGGTGATATCTGAGCTGAGCCCTCAGGCATTCGACAGGGGCAGAGAGGAGGGGAGAATGTGCTCCAGCCTCCACCTGCCAGCCAGGTTGCCAGTGTCATAGCCATGTGTGGGTGTGTGCCTGGTACCAGGGAGGAGAGGGAGGCACCTGTGCTCCAGGGGCCAGCGCTGGGGCTCCCGAGCACAGTGCCTGGCCTGGGGCCATCTTCATAGTCCTCTTCATCCCACAGACTGGGGAAAACTGTGTCCCCCAATAGATTTTTTGGAGTCATAATCCCAGGTACCTGTGGATATGGCCTTATTTGGAAATAGGGTCTTTGCAAATGTAATCAAGTTAAGATGAGATCACATGGGGTTACTGGGCCCTAAATCCAATGACTAGTGTCCTTATAAGAAGGGGATTTGGATGGACACAGAGAAGTAGCAGACATAGAGGGAGGAAGGCTGAGTGAAGATGGAAGCAGTGTTTGGCATGATGCAGTTACAAACCAGAACCTGGAAGAGGTGGGGAAGAGGCCCTCACCCCTCACCTCTGCCCCCCACACAGAGGCACCTTGATGGCTCTGTGGCTTTCAGTGTGTGGTCACTTTTTCCAGCAGCCCTAGGAAATCCACACAGCCCCTGTCCTCCCATCCATATTCTACAGTGCTGTTCCCAGTGCACATCCACGGCCCTGGGCTGCCCTCCTGCCTCCCCTGTCTGCTCCCTCAACATGACCAGCTGGCCCCTCCTGGGCAGTCTTTCAGGGCCCTGCTTAGCATGGGGGTTGCCCCTCAGTGTGGCCCCAGTGTGTTTGATGGTCCCTGGTGAGCATAAGCTACCACCCCCACATGGGTACCATAGCAGAACCCTGAGGCTGTGCCCTGCAAGGGCTGCTCCACTGCTGGAGGCTGGGCTTGAGGCAGACTTCCAGTCCACAGTCATCTCCCAGGACTCATAAATCAACAGATTACATATGATGCTGACCAGATTTCTATACTCAAGTGCTTGTCTATTTGAAAACTTGAACCTCTAGAGAGCAGGTAGAATACTAGCACCTGCGCCCCCCCCCCGCCCCCGAAGTATCGCTCGTCTCTGGCGGACAATACCTGTTGTCTTCAGCCCCACCCTATCACACAGTTGGAGGGACTGAGATCCAGCAGTGGGGAGACCCCAGGCTGGAAGAAGCATCATCTGCTACTATCACTCCCTGGTCATCTGGTCAGCTGGACTCCAGTCCCAGGCTGGCCAGGTGGGAGGGGGGCTCCTCAATCCCACCCCACTTCCCAGAGGTGAGTTCAATGGGGCAGGGACCATCTGTCTCATGGACCATGGTTCCCCCAGCACCGGGACGCTGCCTGGTACACAGTAGATCATAACTAAATATTTCTTGGGGAAAACAAAAAGGGAGAAGGAGAGAACAAGAGCCTAATTTT